TGTTCTCTGACAAAGAACTTTCTAGGGAAGAGACTTGGCAAGGTATAGTTAGGAAGTGTGAAGTGCACTCTGAGGACCAGGATTCCACTTTCCCCCAATTGACACAGGGGTTATGGAGCCAAAGCCAGGGATATCCCAAGGTAAGACGAACGCAAGCAGGTGGGAAATCCGGAAAAAACATGAGGGGCGACAGGTATGTCTTGGACGCATTATTAAAAATGCTAAATTAATGCCATTGAAAAGTTAAAAAGTTATTGCAAAAATGCGAGATTCCACAGTCACAAAGACAGCTAACACATGAGTGAGGCTGGTTGCCAAGACTAAGATCCACAGCATACCTAAGCCAAGACTTTTAATATAAAATATGCACTTGCAGTAACAAATATTATGCATTACTAATATTTATATTTTATATGATTTATATGATCTAAATCATTTTAAGTTTTCCAATTGTTGGCTTACGCATTGTCTATGAGTTTCTGCAATCTTTCGGCAAACTCCAAAAATATTCTGGTTTAATTGTTTATGGTCAATAACTAAAACCGTGACTGTTAAATGCACAAATGTGAAGCGGTTTTTCCACATAGCTGACATGACAGATCCGACAACATGTGTTACTGAACAAATAGTCATCATGTGACCCTCAATTATTTTTATGGTATGTTGTGCTAAGGCTACAAGTGTTTTCAAGATTGTTCAGGCTAGACCTAGCTCTGATGGACATTCAGATCTATTACGTTTTTTCCCCATCACCCTGATATCGAATTCAGCATTTACCAATAGTGGGTATCAGATTGGTGCCATCTTTGATAAGTAGAATAAAATACTCATATCCTGAGCATGAAGACAGAGAGAGGTCATCTGATAAGAGCATCCTCTGGAGCTGGCAGAGATCAGTGCTCCAGACAGATGTGTTCCCCTTCATTTTTACATATGAAAGTACACACATTAGTCATCAGTGAAACACAGCACGGGGGTGCGTGTGAGGCATTTTGTCATGAATTGTATTTTGCAATGTTATAGGGCAGGGAGATGTAAGTTGTCTTCCACTGCAGAAATGCAGAAACCTTTGGAAAACTGGCTAGAAAACAGAAGTGCTAAATGTGGAGGTCAGTTGTAGGGGGTTTGTTGCCATGTCAACCACCAGGGGTGGGAGTCCGAGGACGGGCCCTCCAACAGGCGATCGAGTCACTAGAAGAGGCTGCTGAGCAAAGACTGGGACTATGACTGGGAAACAGGACCAGAACTGGGTGGCAAGATGACCATCAAATAGTAGGAGGAGTAAAAGCAGAGGGGGGTTCACCTTGGACACCAGATGTCACTGTTGAGCCCTCTGGACATGTCAGGAACCTATCAGCAAAATACCCTGGAAAGAGGATGCTCACCTGATGACCCCAGTGAAGAATTTACCCCCATACCCCCTGCTCAAGGAAGGATTAGCAATTACATTAATGATTGTAAGATCAAGTCCTATGAACTGTGGTGCAACAGATGATATGTAGTGGACAGATGACAGCGACATAAATGGCTTAATGCACATGGAAAATGAGGTAATTTCATGTGAATTCATATAGAACCATCGAATCACATATGGAAGATACTATGTTTGTATCCAATGTGTGGTAAAGCCTGAAACTTCCTTACCTTTGGGGACATTTGGATAACCTGCATCTGTGCCGCTTTTATGCCTAGTTAGAATGTGTGGGATTGGTTGCTTTCAACAGAGCATAATATACCTGATTCAGGGTTACACGGCTTCATTAGCTTTCTTGTCTGTTGGAGAGGTTTGTATTCATTTATCGACAAAAAATGTACATTTACATTTCCTGTATGAACAATCAGAAATTAGCAGTGTTGGGTAATTTACTTTTATAATATATTCTGTTACAGTTTACTGAATTCATGCTTTAAAATATAATTTGTAACATGTTCCATTACATTAGCCAAGGTTAGTAACATAATCTGAATACTTTGGATTACTTTCCAAAACTGAGCATAAATATAACGGATATGGAAAAGAAAAAAATTAAATCAAATTCAATTCAATTTTACTGCACATAGAAAGGCAATTCATAAATTAACAATTAACATTAAACCACACAATATTTCACAAAATTTCAAATTGCATTAATAATTTTCATTCAGCTGTGTTTGAAATAAAAGCATGTTGTTAGATTAATCATTTACTCTGCAGCAACATTAAAAATAAAAATTTCATGTGTGTGATAAAAACATTCCTCCAATGCAAAGGTGGCTAATCTTATCCAGAAAGGGCCGTTGTGCGTGTGGGTTTTTGCTGCAACTCCATAATTAGATTATTAATTGGACCTTCTCAGCCCGCTGAGCCACACACAGTGATAGTGCCATTGACACCAGCCTCTCCACATCCGCCATCTTGGAATACTGTTTACTTCCATGTAGGGTGACCAGGTGACCAGTCAGACAATGGGTGTTTCTCAAAACCAAGAACGCAAAGATCATACTTGTGGTCTTGGCAAGACTAGTCTTGCTAACTTGCCACCCAAGAACTAACTTGGGGCGCAATGAATCATGGGATTTGTCTTTGGCAAGGAGGGAACTCATGTTGATAATATTCTCTATAGATGGGATGTAACCTATAGTAGGCTACTTTCTTTAAACCGTTGGTTAGAGACGTGGTGTCCATCTCAAAACGTTGTTTTTGTTTTTAATTGGGACCTTCTTGGGAATGGCCTGGCTTTTATAAACGGGATGGTCTCCATCCTAATTGGAGGGGATCATTCATGTCGTCCCAAAACATGGCAAATAAATTACCTGCCTGCCTGAGAGCAGCACCCAGGCCTCAGCCTCGCGATCTTAAATCGAAGGCTGTTTATTTTCCCACCTTTAGCTCATGTCTGGCTGTGACCCAGGTGCTCCATCATACGGCATCCCTTAAATCTAGTGACTTTGCAGAGTTGAGTCTAGAATATAGGGTAAGACTTTACATTAATTGCACTTTCATAATGCCTTTATAATGTATTCATAGAACATTCATTGCACCTTCATAATGGATTCATAGAACACTCATAAGCAGCATGTAAATATACCACAACATCCTAGCATATCTTAACAGTTTTAATATACATTAATAATAAACATTATATGATAATAACAGACTTAATAATCGTATAATGTTTGTCATTAACGTATATTGAAGTTGTTGAGGTGTGTTAGGATAAGGTATACTTAGATGCTGTCTATGCATGTTCTATAAATGCATTATGAAGGTGCGCTGAATGTTCTATGAATGCATTATGAAGGTGCACTGAATGTTCTATGAATGCATTATGAAGGTGCACTGAATGTTCTATGAATGCATTATGAAGGTGCACTGAATGTTCTATGCATGCATTATGAAGGTGCACTGAATGTTCTATGAATGCATAATGAATGTATTATGAAGGTGCAGTTAATGTAAAGCATTACCAAATATAGTAACTATTACTAGACCAAGACTTAGACCTAAACGTTCCACTGGAGGCTCCTATGCAGCTGACTTGATATCAATCCCTCTGATAATGAGCCACAACATAAACCCACCATAAAATGCTCATTACCGATCATTCAGCGCTTTAGCAAACCAATCATCCACTACTCCTATCATCCATCTATTCATCTGTCATAACTGCTTGTCCATTAAAGAGTCATGGTGATCATCTAGGCCCGGGGGTGGCCAATCTTATCCGCAATGGGCCGGTCTGTATGCAGGTTTTCACACCAAATCCCTAGTTAGGTCACTTATTAGAGGACTGATTGGCTGAATAGTCCTCACACCTGGGTTTGAACAGCTGACCTACAGGTTATCCCAAAAACCTGCATACACACTAGCCCTTTGGGGATAAGATTGCCCACCCCTGATCTAAGCCTGTTACAGTTTGTCTCAGTTGCTTAAGCAGTGCTTAGACTATTTGTATTTAAAGTAACTGATTGTAGTTTTTAGGATTTGGGCAAGATGAAATAATGTGTTATTGGAGACATTACCTGCTCTGAGTGATTTCAGTGAACCTCATTCTTCACTTTATTACAGAAAGCAGGTCCTGGGCATCTTCTGTTATGAAAATCACAACAAGACTATGCAGCCTGGTTAAGAAGCAGTTCAGTTGCAGGCAAAGACCTACAGGGTCTTTTTTTGAACAAAGAAAGCCTCTTTAATTAATGACTAACCTGGTGCTTTTTATGTTATTTGACTGCTCTTATGTTGCATTTCTGACTCTTGAATAGACTGGTTATTTTTTTATTTTGTTAATAGTTGTTACGTATGTGCCCTGCGATGGGCTGGCCCCCCGTCCTGGGTTGTTCCCCACCTCGTACCCGTAGCTTCCGGGATAGGCTCCGGACCCCCCGCGACCCAGAAGGATAAGCAGTTTGGAAAATGGATGGATGGATAGTTGTTATGTATCTCCTGCTCCAATACCACTTACACTTGTACCTGGTCATTCATTGGAAGCTCAGTCTAGCTGCTCTTATGCCTAGTTGACTCCTTGACGGCATCATTGTTTGCCTTGTTCTGTTTGCCTCACTTGCTGTTGCTCTTTGGACAAAAGCGTCTGCTAAATTTGTAAAATGTAATTTAATGTAAATGTCATTGAATTAACTGACTTATGAATTAACTGTATCTATTGTTCTTAGCCTCAACCCTGCCTTGCACATTAGCTTTTGTGCAGTTAGCTCAGTCTCTGTGGTTCCACATCCTGTTTAGCTACAGTAAGTTTCAATTCACATGTGTTTATACCACATGCAGCATTATACCAGGAAGCTGCCTGCCTCCTCGCTGTCGCTATTTCCTCTATATAGCATCTGTCCGTTGAGAATAGAAGGTGAAGAAAGCTGGGTGAAGCAGGAGCTGGGGAGACACCAGGGCTGAGGAGAGAAACATGTCCTGAAGGAATTCCACTGCAGTGCTATGCAGCAGACCGGTCCGTCTGCCGCGTCAGCCACGTGACGCCAAAGGGGCGGGGGAGGGGCACAGGCAGGGGGGGGGGTGTAGCATCCTGCCGGCGCATTGGAGCACAGTGGCAGACGGAGGTACACTGCAGCAGAGACAGCCTCCAGCATGCTCAGCGTCGCAGTCGCGCAGCTCGTCTTGCTGCTTCTGCGCCCGGACGGGGTCGCAGCAGGTAAGCCACCGACCAGCCTTCCTCGGACAACTTCGAGAGGGGCGACCGCCTAAGCGCCCCAGCCCTCTTTCTTCTGGGCCGGTCAGAAACAGGCACAGCTGACCCCGTGGGGCTTTTTTTTGGGGGGGGGGAGGTGTCTTAGTACAGGGGACAATAGTCATTCTTCAGCATCCGGCCATCTTACAGTGCTGTGTCACTCGCCAGTGTCGGCCGTGTGTAAATGACCCCGCCGGCCGTGATTGACCCCGAGTGACCTTCATCACTGACCCATCTGTTCGTCTTTAAGCATCGTTTTTTATAGTTCCTCAAGTGTTCAGTCACATTTTCTTAACATCCAACAACCCTCAGAACATGCAACTATCATTAATTGTATAATCTAAATGGAGGGAGAATGCAACGTAGCCCCTTACACCACCCCACGTTTCCACTGCTGAACACGTTGGCTGCTCTTGGCTTACACAGCTGCAATATTTACCAGACAACTGTGTTTTTACACCGGTAAAAGGGCCTCAGATAGCAGGAGTTCAGCTACAACGTTGTGGATAGTATCTAAATACATTTTAATGAGGCTTTACGAGGTAACATCGTAAGTAAATTTTGTGGGCACAGAAATGACAAATATACATGTAGAATAAATTTAAAATACAAAACAGGCCATGCGCAGGGGTAAGGAGTAGTTGGTTATTTATACAGGATGTATGTAGAATAAAAGCACTACTTGTTTCTTGAAAAGGGCTAGGAAACTGTCACCAGCAGGGGTCGCTATGCTGCACATGACTGCCACAAGCACGTGGAGTCCTTCCCCATAACCGTGTAAAATGGACATGCTGTAAAGTCACGTGTGTTTAACCAATCTGTGACCATAACCATGTCTGAAAGAGGGCAGGTGATCATGCCAGCACCACAGATGACATGTCAACGTGTTACTTTCAGCAGAACAGTGGAAAAAAAATTGCCGCTTTTATGAATAATGAAGGATGTTGAATTTATTTATTACTTATAATATTGAAAATCATAGCTAGCTCTTTCATTTCTAGCTACAGGCACTGAACATAACAATGACATTTTTTTTTGATAGTTAAATATCTTGAGAGATTTAAAAAGGAGAAGGGTAGTAATACAATTAACATTCTGACAATTACATTAAGCATTTTGAAATCTTTGTAGCCATAATCATCTTCTTGTAATCATTTAGTCTTCTTGTAGTCATTTTAACCTACAAATGATATCACAGTCTGCTACTGTGTCCGCTATTTGATCTGTAGATATTTTTTTAAATCTGGTTTCATTCAGTGTAGTAAAACATTCCAGTCCTTTAATTTTTGGCTGAAAGATGGAACTTCTTCCACAGTTATGTAATTAACAATTTATCGTGCTATGGCTGCCATAGTGGGTGTTAGAGGTTGGTCTTGGCCCCTTGACTAGGGTTTTAGCTTCTGGTCCTTCCTCTGGGCATGTAGAGTTTACACATTCCCTCAGTGATTGCATGGATTACCTCTGGCTGCAGGAAACAAAGGCTCGGGTTCAAGGGGAGGGCAAATGAGTGGGGTAATTCCTTTGCCCTGCAGTTCACACAATCATAAGGCTCAAATTCTCCATTAGCCATTCCGTTTCATCGCTTCGTTTGTATAATGAGCTCTGAGTTCAGAGGTGACCAATCCCAGTAAGCAGAAAGCTGACCTTTGTGTGGAACGTTGTAATTCCATCCTATAGTTCAGCCCCAGTTCGACCTCAGGGTTTACCAGCCTGACTGTTTGTATTTTAGATGGAACAAATTCTTCTAATATGACAACGGACCCAGGAATGCCTGTTACTTTTAAAACCGTGACAATAAAAGGTACATATTCATTTTTATATATTGAATTTGGTAACACTTTACTTAAAGCACTAATGTACAATGCATTATAGATAACTTGTATTATAATGGCTTATACTGAAACATTATAATGTATTATGAAGGTATCTATAGCGCATTCTAGATGAGAGCTTCATAAAGCATTCATAATACCTAATAAACATGGCTATAATGTGTTGTACCTTTTTATAAATAGTTATAGTTGTGTTTATAACACTTTATAAATGCATTATGATGCATTATGAATGTATCTATAATGCATAATGATGACTACTTTAAGTAAAGCGTTACATTGAATTTTATTTGAATATTTTTGTGTAACACTCACCACCTCCTTCCATAATGCTTTCATAACCTGTTGTGATAACACCATACCTACTCCAGTATAGTCACACATTAAGCAGCATGGCAATAAAGCACTTTAGCAAACCGTGAGTAAAGCTAATAAGTGAATGGCATGTTCTCTCATATCTCTTAAATGTACCGTTCGATGGCTTGTTAAAACCAGCGCTACCATCATTTGCAACATCTCCCGTGTTTTTCTGCTGATGACACCGTGAATGCTCTGACTTAGAACAAAGCTCGGAAGAAAGGATTGAAATCTGGGAGCCCGCCTATCATGACCTCTCATGCACTGTGGCCGATACTTTTGTTGGAAAGCCAGACAGCATGAATGGATACTGGACAAAGGATGGAGAAGAAATCAATCAGACTCAAGTCACAATACAGAAGAAAATTGACCAATATCATCTACAAAAAAGGCAAGTCAATATATATATATATATATATATATCTCCCATGCTTTCATTTTCAATGAAAAGAAAGTGTCATTTCATTTTCACCATCAATGAAATAACTGACCCATCACGTAGGTTATTAATACTGTAATTTTTGAGGTATGAGGTCAATGTCACCTTTATATATACGAACAATCGACAGTAGACTACCCCACAGAAAAGGGAAATCCTCCACAATTCCTGGCTGAAGAAGAAAGATTTTCTCATTTCTAATGCTTTCAGACCTTCGGTAATTGCGACAGGCGGAAATCAGACGACAGTCGTGTTTCTCATAACCACAACCACCCGAACCACACAGTAGGTGTGATGCACCTGAACCAGCTGGTAGATCTTCAAACTTGGATGCTCTGGCTGCCATCTTTGTTTTTTTCTGATGTGAATAAATGATAATTGCGATCACCCAGATGACCGGGAAAGTCATCACACAGCAGAAAGATGTTCATGCACATGCATTTTTTTTTCTAATCAGATTTATTACAGATAGTTGAGAAAGCCATATCTGCTGAGTATAATGGCATTCTGTGTTTATGGCTGATACTCTGCTATGTTTATTTTCCAGGTTCTATATCAACGGTAGTAGTTTGGGAAATTATTCCTGTGTTTTCATGAATGGAACAAAGAATATTACCAGATCATTTTTAATCTATGGTAAGATGGTTAATCTTTCTTTACTTTTGACATTTTTGTTCTCCAGAAGATCATTTACATTTAAAGATAAAAGCAGAGGTTTTGGAGTTACAATAAATGAGCTGAATGGTGATGAACAAGACTATGAGTTTTTGTTTTATACTCGCTAAGACCTCATAACATACTGTGACAACTGACAACACTGCTATCGTCTGAGTGCAAAAAGCCCTGAATTCCAGAGGCTCAGAGTAACAGGAAATCTAACTCTGATAAAAGTTTAAAAATAGTTAAATTACTAGGAAAGAACTTACACACTATGATACACAATCCTGTCTCAGAGGCTTCTCATCACCAGCTGTACATCTCACACAAAGTCTTGTACACTGAGCTTCATATAAAAGTGTACTGTGCAAATGGCTTAAGACTCAGCATTAATCCGGGTACTGAATGGGCGTGATACATTTCAGCACCTTATCCATGCATATTTTTGCTTCCAGTTGTGAAGTTTTGAACCTTGAAATGGTTGCAGATAACTCTATTTCTTAAAATGACTAAAAAAAAAAATAGACACGAACAGTTGTTAAATGCTTGTATCTGTTTAATCTTTTTTTTAGCACTATCCATGAAGAACAAGACAGACAAGCCTATTGTGAGCTATATTGGAACCTCTGCTGTGCTGACATGTAATATCAAACCAATGCCATTGACCTGGGAGTGGTACAAAGTCAACAGAACTGAAAAGGTGGGATGCACTGTTGAGCTGTGTAGGGCAGTGTTTTTCAATCCGCTTCTTGGGGACCCACAGAAAGTCAAAATTTTTGCTCCCTCCCAGCTCCCGGGAGCAAAAATGTGGACTGTCTGGCAGGGAGCTGGGAGGGAGCAAAAACACAGACCATTTGTCGGTCCCCTAAAAGTAACTTGCAAAAAGTAATATCGAATAATGTCACCTGCCAGGTGAAATATGCCTCCCTGTGTATTTACATGTACAGTGAAGCCCCCACCTCTCATAATGTGCTGACATCAGTGTTTGTACCTCCGTCAGGGTCCAGTGATCAAAATCTATTATCGTTCCAAATCCACAAAACAAGCAAAATTTGTCAAACATTGCAAAAACTACCAATAGATAATGTGCCATTCATACCTCGTAGTTTAGGGTGAAAGAGCGGGTGTGGGGGGGATAAAAATAGTCAAAAAATAAGTCAATATGAACAAACTTCTAACGTTTTTACTTTATTTCAGTGATATTCTAAGTAACTGTGACTCAGAGAGATAAAAAACAAAATGGAAAACAAAAAAAATGTTTTGTACAAGCGCTGTTTACAAATTCTGCGCAGTGGTACATTTTTGGCAAATGAATGTCCATAAACGCAACATACTTAAGACATTTTAGTAATAATTTGTTAGTAAAGTATTGTGAATGAAATGTAAGCGGCATACTATGGGAACAGTGACCTGAGATATGTACACATGGATTAAGGGACTTGCTGTTTCCAGAGAGTAGCCTGACCGGATATCCTTACAGGGCTTGTATTAAAGAGTACATTGGAACGTTATTAAATGTGAATTGAAACTGTTTTCTTCTGAAAAACTGTGATCAGTTTATTCTATTATTATTTTTTGTCTGTTAGTGATTGTATAAGTGGGACAAACCACTTTGGGGTGTGCAGTTACACAAAAATAATCAACTTCCTTCCTCCGCATTAAACCATGTTGCTGTTGATTTTCGTATAACCGCACACCTCGTCCTGGGGCATTCCTTCAGAGTGCAACTAACAAGTATATAATAGCATCTAATGCTGTAGTCACCGGTTGTGTTCAAATTTAACATTAGCATTTAGGTTTCTATGGATCATGCAGCTGAGTCTCACTTCCGGAGTGACTTAAAAGGCCTTTAAGGCCAGATGGCGTCGGATGCAATCACCATCACGGTCATAGTGAACGTCAGAAATATCGCAGCGGCTGACGGGCGTCAGCATGCTAATAGTGCGGGATAAAACTGTCAACCAGTGACATCAGTGTGAATTCTCGCCTCAGATGAGCTCATTTCTGGCCCTTGTTTGAGTTGTGGATGTTTTACACTGAAAGTTGCACGGCGCTGGAGGGCTGTCAGTTTCTTCATTCACGGAAGAGGTGAAAGTTTGGTGATTTTTTTTTTTGTTTTTTTGCTTGCTTTTGAGTCAATATTCTTATGTGTACTTAAAACTGTCCTCATCAGAGGTTTTAAAACCCAACACTGTTGCTTATGCTTAGGGAATGATCAACGTGACTGACAGCCCACCCCGTTACAAGACGCAGATGTCTGGGAGCGAGAGCCGCCTCACCATAGAGAATCTCGTCGAGGAGGACACTGACACCTATGTGTGCATGGCCGTCTATCCCATCGGACCCGTGCAGGGCGAGGTGACTCTGCGAGTTCTCTCCTTCATGGAGCCTCTCAAACCATTCCTGGTTGTCCTGGTGGAGGTGGTGCTCCTAGTGTTTCTGATCCTGCTGTGTGAGTGTCAAGGCCGGAGGAAGGGTTCGACAGCTGTCCCAGGTAAGACTGGCACCTCCTGCAGGAAATCACGGGGTAGCACAGCTCACAGGGCACCAGTATGATATGCGCACTGGTAGAGAAAAGATACTTTGCCACTGAGCAGACATTGTTTTCAGTGAGGCTGTGGGGTTGCTGTCAACGGGGATTTGAAAGCTTGAGGGGTTTGAGTGGTTATTAAACGCAGCAAAATTCCCATCCCAGTCTAAGAAAATGAAGTTACTTGGTGAAGGTTTGGATTCTAAGTTGTGTGCAATTCTATTAAATGCTAAATAGTTATTACTATAATATTTTAAATACACCCTGGCATTTGGCAGCAGCGTCTGTTCCATTTAACTAATTTTTTTTTTCATGGATCCAAAAATGTAGAAATATCAGTTGTTAATAGAAAGGACAACTGGTGTAATATGCTGAGATAATCATTACATAGGATACTATGGGATAGTATTATATAGTTATACAATTGATACAATATATTATAATGCATGTGGGAACTTCACATTTATAATATACCCGATTGTATATATTTCTATACATAGTTATACACCAAACAGTATTACAAAATAGAATACTAGTCATCTAGTTTAATAGATTATTCGTAATGTGTTGGTTCATAATAAATGTTCCCATATAATCCAACCATCTCCTGGAGTTGTCAAACAACAACAACGTTAACATTAATATCAGACATTTGTCAGGAAAAGGGGGGGGGGCTAGGACCTACCCCAAAGGGTACAGGGCACACATATCGTCCTGGATGCCAGTCCATTACAGGGCACAAACACACATACACTCAAGCATATACCACGGGCAACTGGCCAATTAGGCCCAGCAGAGATGCCCTAGACCATAGGGGTGTGAAGCACTCTGCAACACCCATGTTCTATAGATAAAATGCATAAAAATAGATTAAAATGGGATCATTGCAGCACAGAGAAGACTCTGCTTTGATTCATATTTTGCTCATTAGAAATACATTCTTGGAAAATCATAGAGGGCTTTTGGATGTAAAAGACTAACCGTAATTCTACTATCTAAGGTCTTCTTAAAATGAGAATTTAGATTAGCTGGTGTGTGGCTCTCTGGGTTAGGTGCTTCTGATCAGATGTAATGTAAATGTAATGTAGATCCTTTAAGGTCTCAAATGCCTCACATCGTACGTCTCAGCCAGTAATTTGTAAAGCTACTGAGAAGCATGTGGATATTGTCTTTCGGATCAACTTTTTATAAAGTGGCTTCTCCTGTAGTGATTTTGGGAGAAATAATTCACACATAAAGAAACTTTGTTTAGATTGAGTAATCCTTTGGTGGGGGGGTTGTTTGGGGGGGGGTTGTGTTCTGGTGAGTCATATAAAACATGAGAGCTAGGCCTTTTGAGACTCATTCATGCACTCACTGTATAAAAGCCATCAGTAGAATAAAACAACCTACAACTTGAATATACATATTTGCTCATAGTTATATAAAGTAAATTATACAAACATACATGTCACTTCAACTAAGTATTCTTGAAAACAGTAATTGGCCACTGATTTATGATTTTTAATGAATTTTCTTGTAAAAGCAGTTTACAAAATCAAAACACACTTAGGATAAACATACATATTGTACTTGATGTTTTGTAAGGGCTGGGGTGCCGCACAGGGGGAGTTTCTAGCTATTGAAAAGATCAGGGGTTAAGTCAAGTTTACCTGGGGCTTGACTTAGTTTTTTTGAAGTAGGATAATTGGCATCGGGGCTAAAATACTCGGGGCTACAGCCCAGAGTGATCGGGCCTAACGACGCCCATGGTACAGTGTCCGGGGAAGTTGTGCTTACATGCTTTTCTTGTTTTCAGAAAACGGAACACACATCGACCAAACAGAAAATCTGTGAGTATTCACAATCCCAAGCATCTAACAACCATTTATCCAGTACAGGGCCACAGATCCCAGTCAGCACAAGGCACAAGACAGGAGAACACCCTGGATTAATCTTCAGTAACCAGCAGTATTATTTTGAGGGCAGAATGAAGAATGATTGGTTCAGAGAGATAACCAATCACATTGTAGAGGAGGAGGGTCTAAGCAACTGGAGGAGGCAGGAGCAACTAATCAGATGTCTTGCTTCCACCTCCTCTAGTTGCTTGTAACCACCTCGTCAACAATCTGATTGATTATCTCTCTGAACCAATCATTCTTCATTCTGTCTTCAGAACATTTTTGTGTAAGTAAAACTTCCATGAACCAAATATCCCGAAAATCAAAAGGTCATATGACAAATTTGGCAAATATTTTCCATCTGATCCTAACAGCCAGTTGCCCATGATTATTGTTTTTGTTCACATGTTCACTGCCTTGTGTCTGAAGCTCTTGGGATGGTGGAGACTTCGAACAATTCATTTTTTCACCACCAGAGGGAGTATACGTTCACTTTTAGCCTAAAAACAGGCAGGGTATGCAGTGATTGGCATCTATGGGGTTAATTCAGTTCTAGCAGGGGGCTAATGCAGTTTGACATTTTGGAGCACAGAAGTGAGAAAGTCAGTTCTCAGTCCCTACTTCCATACCAGATCATTCCACTCTGTAAATGTCAGGTATTAGTTTCTTGTATTCTGGTGCAAAACAAAGCCTTCTGAGAAGTAACATCAGACCCAAACATTAGGAATTGGCAGTAGTGTATGTATTTTGGTATTATCTAAAATGAATACTGTCTCTGTTGTTCTTCCAGTATCAGTTGTTAATACTCTGAATATTTTTCCTATATTTTATCCCAATACATCCCTTTAGATGAGAAAACTATGAATGTTTAAGTATGTTTCAGTACTGAAAAAATTATATATATATATATATATATATATACACTCACCTAAAGGATTATTAGGAACACCTGTTCAATTTCTCATTAATGCAATTATCTAATCAACCAATCACATGGCAGTTGCTTCAATGCATTTAGGGGTGTGGTCCTGGTCAAGACAATCTCCTGAACTCCAAACTGAATGTCAGAATGGGAAAGAAAGGTGATTTAAGCAATTTTGAGCGTGGCATGGTTGTTGGTGCCAGACGGGCCGGTCTCACAATCTGCTCAGTTACTGGGATTTTCACGCACAACCATTTCTAGGGTTTACAAAGAATGGTGTGCAAAGGGAAAAACATCCAGTATGCGGCAGTCCTGTGGGCGGAAATGCCTTGTTGATGCTAGAGGTCAGAGGAGAATGGGCCGACTGATTCAAGCTGATAGAAGAGCAACTTTGACTGAAATAACCACTCGTTACAACCGAGGTATGCAGCAAAGCATTTGTGAAGCCACAACACGCACAACCTTGAGGCGGATGGGCTACAACAGCAGAAGACCCCACCGGGTACCACTCATCTCCACTACAAATAGGAAAAAGAGGCTACAATTTGCACGAGCTCACCAAAATTGGACAGTTGAAGACTGGAAAAATGTTGCCTGGTCTGATGAGTCTCGATTTCTGTTGAGACTTTCAAATGGTAGAGTCAGAATTTGGCGTAAACAGAATGAGAACATGGATCCATCATGCCTTGTTACCACTGTGCAGGCTGGTGGTGGTGGTGTAATGGTGTGGGGGATGTTTTCTTGGCACACTTTAGGCCCCTTAGTGCCAATTGGGCATCGTTTAAATGCCACGGCCTACCTGAGCATTGTTTCTGACCATGTCCATCCCTTTATGACCACCATGTACCCATCCTCTGATGGCTACTTCCAGCAGGATAATGCACCATGTCAGAAAGCTCGAATCATTTCAAATTGGTTTCTTGAACATGACAATGAGTTCACTGTACTACAATGGCCCCCACAGTCACCAGATCTCAACCCAATAGAGCATCTTTGGGATGTGGTGGAACGGGAGCTTCGTGCCCTGGATGTGCATCCCACAAATCTCCATCAACTGCAAGATGCTATCCTATCAATATGGGCCAACATTTCTAAAGAATGCTTTCAGCACCTTGTTGAATCAATGCCACTCAGAATTAAGGCAGTTCTGAAGGCGAAAGGGGGTCAAACACTGTATTAGTATGGTGTTCCTAATAATCCTTTAGGTGAGTGTATATATATGGAGCATTTAGGATTCCAGTTTGTATTGTTTATTGTTTTAAAATTCATCCGTTAATTAAGCAACACATACTGTATGTTTGTGGGATATATCGCACAGCCAAAGCATCTTATTTGGTTGTTCATATAGTCTCTCTGGGAGAAGAAGATGGCTTATTTCCTGTTCTAATATGATTAGTACCTTTTGACACTCCCTCTTAAGCACTGTTAAGCTGTAAAAGCTCCCTCACATCGACGTATGCAAGGTACTGGCTCTAGTCTTTAGGCTCAGGTGCTGACTTCAGCAGACCGTTCCAGGAATACAATCTGCAACCCTGAATGGACATTATCATTAAGCCAGGCTCTGGTCAAAGATCCCCTGCGAGACTGACTGCCAGGTGATCACCACTTAGGAATTAGTCCTGTGCATCTGTGGTTTCTGCCACACCCCGTGACCTTTGACCCGTATCCCCGCCTCCCGTCGACAGTCCGGCTCAGGTTTACCTGTGGCTGCCAATTAACCGACAGCCTCCGAATGCTTTCACAAGGAGACCTGAGGACAGTGTCCATCACCAGTTACCAGAGAAGTTTAACTAGATAACTTTAGATTACAGTGTATGTCAGCTGATCTGTAGGGGTTGTATTAAACCACAAGTACTTAACGGATCCCGTAACCAGGGGGCAAAAATTTACAGCAGTTTAACTGTTGTTTCTCTGTTTTGCAGGAGAAAAGAGGAACCAAGTGGAACTGAAGAAACCACAGCAAAGCGAAGAAAAGTCTAAAGTGTAATTAACATCCAGGAACTTATTTTGGGATATGGGGTCTCTAACCTTCCTATAGATCAAGAGAACTACAAAAAATATGACGAGTCTTTGGCTCTGAGTTGATGCACTGATCCCAGGTCCTTATTTTTCAGTCTCCATCTTTTTGAGGTTCAATGTGCAGTAATATTACTCCAGTAAAAGCGCTCAAGTGGGTGTGTCACTCTTACAGATACTTTTAGTGAAAAAATACTGAATGTACTTCTTGTTCAAGCGCCCATGTGTATCTATGTGTCATTTAACATGGCTTACTTGACCTCTAACCTTTTGGCCCATTTTATTTTTCAAGGAACTTCCCCCTAGTGGTGAAACTCTAGGTGGCATTCAAAATTTGTCTTCCAAACACGGTCGTTCTGAGTGTCTGAGCCTCTTTTTTTATAGGGAGTCGAAGTCTAGGTAGCCAGTCTCAAACTCTTCATATCAATCCATTATCATGGCCTTATCGTCCAACAGTATAACCTTTAGCCGTTAATACCTGCATGTTTCCTCAAGCGACCGATTAAATGTTTTTTTTTAAATATGGGACACGACGGCTGGAATCGTGGAGAAAAATAATGTGTTAAAAAATCTGCATAAACATGACCCTCTGGGGACTGAAACTGAGGTTCAGACCACTGTAAACAGCTTAGGTTTCTTACTTTAATCATTCTTACGTCTCACCAAAGAGGCCAGTGACAAATCGGAAACAGTCAAGCTAATGGGTAAATGAAACTGCTGTGGAAGACAACTCACTAATTTGTATATTTGATGAGCATCGGGTGTTAAATACCCATTGGGCAGACAATAGTTTCAGCTCTCTCATTTCAGTCTGGTATTGACTTCTTCCATCTCCTTGACATTGTCCTTTTCTGTCTGTTGTTTCTTTCTTGCCTTTTTCATCTGACCATTTAAAAATGTATTTGAGTTTGCCCGCTATTTTAAAGCTATCCACTGCCGGGTATAATTTTATAATTCTTATAACTTTATAATTTTCTAGCTTGTAATAAAATTACTTCATTGTAGTAGAAACACATTTTGCGTTGTCTGAAAATATTAATATTAACATTTTAATTTTATTGTGATAATTATTAATCAATGAATTTATTTTTTTTTCCCTCCTGACCACATCAAGATTTTGTTTGATGCCTAAAATTAAAGCTACTGTGATGTGAAAAATGTTAGCCAAATATCCTTATATATCTTTATATTGTACTCCCATATATAAATATGCATATCTGCTCTTCAGTAATTGACCATCAATGTCTATTGGTGCTTCAAACAGATATTGTAAACATCTGATAGTAAAGAAACATTGAAATAAATGAATAAAGTAAAAAAAATTCAACTGAAACAGTCCAGTCAACAAACGAAGAATGATCCCAAACTTACTATATGTTTCAGTTTTTATATATTACAAATTCAGTGTTCATACTGTAGGCAAGCGTGGATGTAAAAAAAATCAAGCATTTTATAGTAAACTAAAAATAATAAGTAAAATTACTCTAAATTAGAGTAACTTATAAGAGTTTTGCGTGGGGTATCTCCCACAGCCCATGCAGTTAGATGAATAGGTGTCTCTAAATTGCCTAGTATTGTGTGAGTGTGTGTGTGTGTGTGTGTGCGCATGTCCTGCGATGGACTGGCTTTTCGTCCAGGATGCTTCCTGACGTGTTTCCTATGCTGCCTGTGCCAGTACATAAATAGAAGTCAGATTATTTTTTCTACATCCAAAGGGTGATGTCATAGTCATGGCCAATTCCCACGTCTAATAAATTCTGCTACGCTAATATTCTGTGGACAGTCACTGCCACTTTCTGCTAGCTACTTAATGCTAGGAAAAAAATTAGCACATTAGCTGCTATCCTGGCTTTATGGTTAATCATCAAGCAATTAACAAACCAATCTGCAAAGTCATAGCCACCATCACCTCCTGCCACCACCCCCACACCTCCTGTCTGATGCTCTATGACATCATAAATCTTCAAACTCAACATACACATCAGCCTTGATATAGACTACATTCTCAGATACAAAGCAGGAGCATAGCCATAAAGTCTGTGGCTTACTATCCCAGAAATGCAACATCCGGCTACAAATCTCCTCTTAACCCCTGGCACTAATGAGTCATGGTCTATTCCAATGGTCTCCATCTCTCCGAGGACACAATCAGGAAGAAAGACACATGAGCAGTTCAGCACAGAAGAGGACAGAGAACGATTCCCAGATCAAAAGTACACACCAACCCCAAACCATGCAATACAGTAATGAGAAAGGTTATTTAAATTCTCCAGTTACAGCAGCACCTGTACAGTTCCGCCATCTTGCCTGTGTAATGGACTGTATGGTATATTACTGAAATGGGGATCCAGGAAAGTTCATATAACTTTCTGCATTTCACCATGCAGGCCTCATTAAGCGTCTTTGACTTAGAGCCAAACAATAAATAATAAATAGTGTGCAGGCATTCTACCGTTGTGTAATTTTACCAATGAGACCCTTTGATGAAGCAGTAAAAACTGGAACGGAGGATTACCCCAGCATTTCCACAGGCTCTTAGTGGAATATTTTAAATAGGAAAGAGTCCAGTGTTATGGTTCATGTTGTGGTTCATGATCTTTGAAATGTCTATCAGTGAGTCTGTTCTCCATGCAGGACTTCGTAAGTCGGCTGATCATAGGCTGCATCCACGATGTCATATTTCCATGGGACCAATGCGGTACTGCAGCTGAGACGGTGCCCACCCTGGACATGGGTGGTCAGAACAGGCATGGACACACTGATGGACATGAGAACCATAAGGACACATACAGCAGCACCAGCAGCCACAGTTACAGTGGTTTTAGAACATGAAAGCTGGAATCATCAAAAAAAACAAGATTTAAAATTTGAAACCGACTTAGCATCCCATACATAATCTGGCAAACAGTTTCATACTCTAGGGGCATTGTACCTAAAGGTTTTAGCACCAAGAGTTCTTTTATTTATTTGTGGCATACTGTGGGGATCTGCATTCTGAGATCTGACTGCTCATATGTGGCTTGTAAGCATTAATCGGTTGGATTATGTAGGCAGAAGCTTTATCTTCGAGTCCTTGTATGTAAGTAATAGAACTTGTTCTTTCTGATGAGGACATACAACACTAATGAGAATACACCAACTGTGTTTCAGAATGTTTTACACATGAACGAACCACTGACATTGGAGATTAGGTATATATAAAGAATATAAAGAAGGTTACAGTGTTTTGAATTGTACCCAGTTCCAAGATCGGCGTATTGTCATTAGAGTTTTCATCAGAAAGAATAGGAAGCACTTTCATATCTCAGTATTTCACCAAAGAACACCTTACACAATATTTTTTTTTAAGTAGTTATCATGCCCTGCTCGTCCGATCCTCCTGTGTGCCACACCCCGTCATTAACCTCGTGTGGAATCCCTGCGTTTACCAGCTGTTTCATGTTATTTCCAATTAGTCCTGTGTATTTCAGTCCGCATTCGAGTACGTTTCCCTAGGTCTGTCATTGAAGTCTATTGAAGTCTTTTTGGGCTTATTGTGTAGCGCTGCTTGTTTCTGCCTGTTCCATGTCCCTGCTCCTTTCTCCCATTAAATCCCGTGTTACCCTATCCAACTTGTTCCTCTCCTGCTTCCCCGCTCCGTGCGCCCAGCCTGGTCACGACAGTACTATTACATTTTTTTTTTACTACATTTAGGTTATTAACCCTTTCTCTAACCACCTTTTTTCCTTTTATTGAAAAACCCTGTTGGAATTTAATTGCAGTGGAAAAATAATTTGGGAGGCCAGATACTGATCAGACTGGCCACTGTGGGGTCATAGGATGCAGACATACAGGCCCTCAACTTAGGATATTAATATTACTGTATGTCATTATACTGCTCTGTCCCAAAGAATGTGCGGAGAGATGGACACCGGGTCCACTGGAACCTGTGTGCAGTTTTCCCACTGCAATCTTTCACCTCAGCAGGTTCTTTAATCCTACATATGCATACACCCACTGGCCCTGCCACAGCTGTAATTTATTTGGTTCTAAGACCTCAGGTGTGTTGCTGCTAAGGGTGGAAGTCCATGGTCAGCAGGAAAGAAGCAGGAAGAGCGACAGTGTGCAGTGAGGGTGGCAGGTAGTGAAGCGCTTAACAGGCTCACCCTGCGAGCGAAACGCTGCTGAACCCTGTGTCGCCCCGATTCCGTGCCCTTTCCCTCCGTACCCCCATTCATTTGTAATTACTGTAATGTAAAATGGCGACAGTCAATTATCCAGTGACACAATGAGAGTTCCGAATTTGCAATGCAAGGGACTTTACTTTAAAGTGTCTGTCAAGCAGCTAAATAATTATGATTTATGACTTGACCGTTTACGTCCCAGTGAGGGGGGAGGATCGGTGCACAGGGCCTGGGTTTTTAGGAGGATGGCATTTGGAAGCTAACGGAGACGAGCGAGATGAATGCAAGGCGTCAGGGCCTGTAGGAATGCACATTGTATTGTTCCCTGATGGATGGGTGTTTCCTCCTTCCTTATGCACAGCAGGTGTGGCCTCTGCTCTGTGCTCTCAGCCGACATTATCCAGGGCCTCATGGCCAGGCCAGGTGTGCCTGATATTGGAGACTCCCCCCCCCCGCTTTCGAGCCCCTGATTCACGTTACATGTAGCCTAGAGTCAAGAGCCCGCGGTCACATTCAATCTCACTGACCTGCGCTGCCCTCATCTTCTTCACGCTGGTCTTCGCAGCAACGCCACCCCCTCGGATTGCATCACATGACCCACATGAATCACCCGTGTTGGCTATCGTCTCAGCACCAAAGGCCCCACACAGTGTAATCGGGGCTGTGGTCACTGGTGCCTTAGAGCTGGAATCTCTCAGACGGCGCGAGCTTTAGCTGTTATTAAACAGCGGTGCTTAAGCTGCAAATAGAAACCTTAGCCCTCAGCATAATATATATTTATATATTGCCAATTTTACACTTATTAATGTTTTACAAGTTGGATGACGCGAAGAGGAAACACTCCTTCTCCAATAATAGTGTTAACTCATAGAG